AGATGAAGATAGGGATTGAGGGAAGGAGATGTGCAGCCTTCTATTTTCATTTGCTGTTGTTGTCAGGGGTTGAAAAAGGACAGAGTACTTGACTCCTCTTTTGGAATAACTTAACCAATCCCATCTGGCAGTGTCTTTTTTTTTAAAGTGGACTCTTCAAGGAATTGGGGAAGAGGCAGTGCAGTCTTGGTGACTCCACTTCACTGGCTGAATCAACCACTGGGACTGAGTGGCACAGGCCCAGCTTAGCTGCCTCAAATCCCAGCAGTCCTGAAGGAACCTGAGTACTGGAGCCAAGCTGGCTAGATTCGGTCCCCATACTTTTCTTTCAATAGTCTCTTAATGGAAATCACAGAACTAGCATCCTTACTTCAGAAAAGCAGTTTTCTCTTTTGGAATAAAAAAAAAAAATCACAGACTAAGGAAACAATTATCCAATTTACAATTATTTAAGATGATCTCATTTTATATGTTAAAAGGTGGCAGATAAAATAATTTTTTGGAACAAGAAGTAACTCATATTTAGAGCATTTTATTAGCAAGGTATTTTAAATATCATAGTTTCTGTTGCATAAATGTCACATACCTTTAAAAACATGTTAGAGTCAGTCCTCCATGGGTTCAACATCTGTAGATTTCACCAACCACAGATCAAATATATTTGAAAAAAAAAATGTGTCTTTACTATGTATAGACTTTTTTCTCTTGTCATTATTCCCTGAACAATGCAATATAACAACTATATTTACAGCATTTAAATTGTATTAGGTATTGCAAGTAATCTAAAGATGACTTAAAGTATACAGGAGAATGTGCATCGGTCATATGCAAACACTGCATCATTTTATATCAGGAACTTTAAATAAAACTTCATATCCAGCATCTGTGGATTTTGGTAGGTGCAACAGGTCCTAGAACCAATCCTTCACAGATACCAAGGAACTACTGTATTTATTCTCAACTTGATGCTTAACTATAGACTGTATTCTTCAGCTGGCAGATTCTGAGGAATGGAGGTATCGAGTTTATATTTTTTAAGGTCATTCATTGATTTTTTTAAACATTTATGGGGCTGATCCTGGCAATTATTTGTAGGTCATTCATTTTACCTCAAAGGATTTTTATGATATAAGTATATGAAGAAATTTGTATAAGAGATGACATGCTTTACATAGAGAATATATATTACTTTATAATAAAATATATATGAAGCAATAGGTATGGGGAGTCCTTTTTACTTTTAGTCAACACTGGGTCAAGCACTTTGGGCATTCATGTCTACCCTCAGAGAGTTTACAGTTTAGATGGAAAGAAAACCTAACATTTATGCAACACCAGTACACACTGTGAGACAAGGTAAAGTTATGTGTGAATTTATAGGGTACAGGCTACCTACAGTGTAGAAAGAAGTACAGAGGCAAGAGGAAGAAGGAGAAACATGATTTCCCTTAAAGATCCCAGATGAAGATGGATTAGAGAATATTAAGAGAAAGAAGACTCCATTGATAGAAGCTAATATAAGAATTTTCACGGAACGAGGGGTAGCCTTTAGATAGATTCCTTGGGATTTTTTACGTACACAATCATGTTATCTGCAAATGGAGACAGTTTGCTATCTTCCTTTCAAATGTATATGCCTTTTATTTCCTTTTCTTGTCATATTGCACTGCTTAAAAGTTCTAGCACTGTGTCAGATAAGACTGGTAAGAGCTGACATCCTTGCCTTGTTCCCAATCAGGAGCAAAGTTTTAGCCTTTCATTTTTAGCCATAGTGTTTACCGAAAGTTGTTTTACATGCTGTTTATCAGTTTCAATTCTTTTTAACTTTGTTGATGTTTTATGGCCTAGAATATAGTCTGTCTTGGTATACCTTCTGTGGCACTTGGAAAGAGTGTGTATTCTGCTGTTGTTGATTGGATTGTTCTATTAATGTTGATTAGATCCTATTGCTTGATGGTGCCACTCAGTTCTATATCTTTGCAGATTTTGTAGCTAGTCATTCTCTCAACTTTTAAGAGAGGACTGTTAAAGTTTACAAGTCAACTGTGAATTTATTTCTCATGTTATTTCTACAAGTTTTTGCTTCACATGTTTTATAGTTGTACAAAGCATGCAGAACTTGCTGTTTGGTGCATACACATTTAGGGTTGCTATGTCTTCTTGACAGATTACCCTTAATCATCATATAATGTCTCTCTCATTCTCTGGTAATTTTCTTTGCTCTGAAGTCTACTTTCCCTGAAATTAACTACTCCTGCTTTCCACTGACCAATATTTTTATGTCTATTTTTATCCCTTTGCTTTCAGTTTGCCTGTAGCATTATATTTGAAGTAAGTTTCTTACAACAGCATATAGTTCAGTTGTATTTTTAAATTCATTCTGCCAATCTCTATCTTTAAATTGGTATGTTTGGGATATTTACATTTAATATATTCATTGACATGTTGGGGGGTTAAATCTCTGTGTGTGTGTGTGTGTGTGTGTGTGTGCGCGCGCGCATGCGCGCGTGTGTGCATTTGTTTATTCACTGATTTTTGCATCTCTGTGCAGGAAAAGAGCAGGGGTTGGTCACCTATCTTTCTATGGGTTACTTGAACATATAGTAGAATCCCACTTTAATTTGTCTTAGTGTTTTCGACTACATCTCTTTGTATAGGCTTTTTAATGTTTGCTGAAACTATTAGTGTGGATTTGACCTCATTACTATGGGTGATGTAGAAAGTCCTAACTGTCTACTAGGCTTCCTCTGACACCATTCCAGTGGGATGGGAAAGATATACTTCATTACAGCCAGGAAGGGATGGAAGTCCAGGCTCCTCATGTGGTCACCATTGATACTGCAGTGGTAGTGGTGGTGGTGGCAGTGGAGGATGGACGAGAACTCATTACCACCCTCTGGGGATAAAAATCCCAGCTCCCAGTTTGTCTCCAACATCACCCTGGTAGGAGATGGAGCCTTTAGGGGTCCATCATGGGGTACCTCATTACACCCTGTCAAGGGTGGAAGTCTATGCTCCCCACTCTGTCTTTGGTGGTGAAGATGAGGCCATAGTTTTTTCTGTGGTGTTTGGCTATAGTCAAGTGGTTATTGTCTGAAAGTTTTTGGCCTTGCTAGGCTTCCTCTTTCTTGGCCATTTTGGTAGAGAGAGCAGACTTGTTGGGGCTGTTTTGGTCTGCTTCCATTGGCATTTTCAGGTAGTTGCCTTCTTCAGCTCCTAGTCTGGGTTAATGAGCCAAAAAGATAACTCGGGGAATTTGCCAATGAATTATTCTTGGTCCCTAACATCCCTAGCTGGTCTGCTCTCATCTCTCCACCTTTCAGAGTCTTTCTATTTTTTTAAATATGTAATGTCTAGGATTTTTCATTGTACTTCGCCAGAGGGATAGGGAACAGTATAACTACTACAGCTGTCTTCCTGGAAGCAGAGCTCCTACAGATACTTTTAATGACAATTTATTTGTTGATTTTAGAAGGCCCTGTTAATCTACCTGCTATTTTTCACTACCCCATTGGATAGGCTTTTTTTTCTCATGCTACTTAGGTTCTCCAGAGAATCAGAATCAACAGGATCATGTAGAGAAAAAGATGTATTCTAAGGAATTGTCTCACATGATAATGGAGGAGAGCTAGCCCCAAGATCTTCATGGTCATTTGGCAAACTGGAGATCCAGGAGAGCTGATAGCTTAGTTCTAGTCCTAGTCCAAAGGTGATATAGTTTTAGTCTAAACATGATAGGCTTGAGACCTTAGTTCAAGTTGAAAGGCAGAAATAATTCTCCCTTACTGAAGGAAGGATCAGTGGTTTTATTTCAGCTAACTGGATGAGGCCCACTCACATATGGAAATTAATCTGCTCTATTCAGTCTATCCATTTAAATGTTAATCTCTCTAAAAATACCCTCACAGAAACACCCAGAATGTTTGACCAAATGTCAGGGCACTCCATGGCCCAGTCAAGTTGACACGTAAGATTTACCATCACAGCAAGCAAACATTTAAAAGCTCGGGCCTACCAAGCTGGTCAAGTTGGACCTAAATAGGAGCTCTGATAAAATATGTTCACAAAGTCACATTTGGGGCTCACTTTGAGATATACAGAGAAACTCAAGGGAGTAAGTAAAGTCTTTCATAGATCAAAAATTTGTTGAAAGGAAGTAAGCACTAAAACCTGAAAGTCAGTGCCATATGGGAAATAGGAACCTTCTGGTCACCGTGTTTCTGCAGGAGAGCTTTATAAATAGGAAAACTGTTAAAACTTTTATTTTATGGATTCTTAGGGTAAGAATTTATTTTTTCTATTATGGAAAGTTTAAAAAATTCAAAATAGGAATTTATCATGACCTGTAATCCCTTTGTCACAATCTCTTAACATTTGCCCCTGGGGCCAGCATCTAATGTGAAGACCTGGCTGGTTCTGGGTACAGGCATCACTTGCTGGGGACAACTTTGGACTCAAATAGACCTTAGTTCCCAGGTGTGTGACCTCAGGCAAATGGCTTTACCTCTCTAAACAGCAGTCTTTTTATCTAAGGATAGAGCGATTTTCATATCTGTAAAATCAGTAGTTATACTGTTAAGAATTAAATAAAATAATGTCTATGAAGTGTTAAACATGTAGTAACCACTCAATAATTCTAGCCCTGACCACTTATTCATCATAAGACACCCTTTTGTCATTGTAAACTCTTAATAAATACCATTTTTAAAGGCTGTACAATGTCCTCTTGTATGAGTGTTCTATAATATAATTAAACATTCCCTCCTAAGGTGAAACATCTAAGTAATCTTTAGTTTTTCAGTTTTATAAATGAGATTGCCATCTTGGTGCTTAAATATCTGTTTTCACTTTGGAACATTTCCTTAAGTGCAGCTTCTTTGAGGTAGAATTACAAAGTGAAGAGAAAGAACCTTCTGGAAAGGTGGTACCAAGATTGCACTAGCAATGAGAGAGAGAGAGAGAGAGAGACTTTTCTGATTTTCACACTTTATATTTTCTAGAAGCATCAGATGGTGAAGAAGGAGGAAGAGACACGGAAGTGATGCAGCAGGAGACAGTTCCACTTCCTGCATCTTCAAAGAAAACCAAACAGGTAAGGGGTCACTGTGGGAGAGCCACCGTTACATTCTGAAATCAGCCTCTTCCTCCCCTTTTGAACCACCTGTGTCCTAATGTTGGTTGTTGGTGGGATTTAAGAGAACCCTTTACCTTCTTTCCCTTTGAAAAGGCCATGGGCCATGCTTCCGTCATTGTAAACCAGCAAGGTCTGGTTTTTGCCCGAATTCTTTTTCTTCCTTTTCTTTTTTTTTACAAGATCTTGCTTTATCACCCAGGCTGTAGTACAGTGACGCAATCATGGCTCACTGCAACCTTGACCATGATTCGGCCACCTCAGCCTCCCGAGTAGCTGGGATACCACAGGCATGCGCCACCACAATAAGCTAATTTTTTTATGTTATGTAGAGATGAGTTCTCCATGTTGCCCAGGCTGGTCTCAAACTCCTGAGGCCACCCACCTTGGCCTCCCAAAGTACTGGGATTACAGATGTGAGCCACCGCTCCTGGTTCCTAATGTTTTTTAACTGTGTAAATGCATTTCACAATGATGATATCTTAGATTCTGGGCCACATTTTTGTCAGAAATCCAGCCTTATGCTTTTGAGGGTACAATTCCTAAAAGGAGTCAAATAGCATAAAGATATAGAAGATTACCACATACTCAAGTGCATGATTACAGCACCAGGCCATGCTGCTAGCAGGCTCCTGGAACTGTATTTCTGCCCAGCATTATGGCCTGACATATGCATTCTTTTTTTTTTCCTTGAGACAGAGTTTCGTTCTTGTTGCCCAGGCTGGAGTGCAGTGGCATGATCTCAGCTCACTGCAACCTCTGCCCCCTGGGTTCAAGTGATTCTCCTGCCTCAGCCTCCCAAGTAGCTGAGATTACAGGTATGCACCACCACGTCCAGCTAATTTTTTGTTTTTAGTAGAGACAGGGTTTCTTCATGCTGGTCAGGCTGGTCTTGAACTCCTGATCTCAGGTGATCCACCCGCCTCAGCCTCCTACAGTGCTGAGATTACAGGCGTGAGCCACCATGCCCGGCCTGTCATATGCATTCTTAACAGGGGATTGTGGCCTTCACATTACCAGAAGTAGCCATTTGGGTAATCTTTTTTCCTAAACCTGTGACCTTTTATTGCCTTTTTAATCTTCCTACTTACTTTAGAAATGCTGCTCATCCATTTGTAGCTTTTTCTCGTTGGGTTTCCATCAAACCTGATTGGTATTTAGGTTGCTGCAAAAGTATTTGTGGTTTTGCCATTACTTTTAATTTAAAAAATTACTTTTGCACTAACCTAATAAATCTATGTGATTTGGGTTTTTTTGTTTTTGTTTTTGTTTTTTTTTTTTTGAGATAGGGTCTTGCTGTGTTGCCCAGGCTAGAGGACAGTGACACTCAATCATGGCTTACTGTGGCCTCAACCTTCCAAGTTCAAGTGATCCTCCCACCTCAGTCTCCTGAGCAGCAGGGACTATAGATGTGCCTCACCACACCTAACTAATTTCTTCACTTTTTTGTAGAGATGGGGTCTCACTATGTTACCCAGGCTGGTCTCGAACTTCTGGGTTCAACTGATCCTCTTTCCCTTGGCCTCCCAAAGTGCTGGGACTACAGGCATGAGCCACGGTGCCTGGCCTATGTGGGATTTTTAAAAGACTGTCTACTACCAATACAAAATTACTATCTTTTTCATAGCAACAATCTGGGGTCTTATTCTTATTATAGATGCTTTAAACTCATTCCCCCATACTGTGATTCCACCAAAAGTTTGTGACTTAGCTCAAGATAACTGTGAGAAGCAACTTAGTATAGTGTTGCTTAACTTGCCCGCTTAGGTGGGCAAGTTAAATTTCTCTGTGACTTAGTCACATTCTTGGTAAATGATAATCATTACATCTTCCTCGCAGAGCTGTAGTGATGATTAAATGAGTGTGTACTTGTTAAGCACTTCAAGCAGTAGTTAGCAAAGAGTAATCACTGAAGTGTTGATTATTATAGTTGATTATTATATTATAATCTTGTTTATTTTGTCCATTCCTTTTTCTTCCTGGGAAGGGAAATGCAGAAAGGTATATGTGTTTGAGATATAATCATCTTGGTTTTTTTTCTCCAACCATTAAATACTTTGCTTAAGGCCCTATGCTGGTGTTAGTCTTAATCATTCTTCAGGAAACCTATAGGATAACACATCCTTAGGTTTTCCATTTATTTCCTCAAGGTGGGGTTTAAGTTTTCCTTAGCTTAGCCCACTCACCATGCGATAGTTGTGCCCTCTTTGTCTCTTGCCTCTAATCAATGTCTACCTACAGAACTAATTTGCACATATTCTTCATACTCCACTGGCTTTCATTTTTCCTTGCTTTCCCCTTTCTTCTGGCTTGTTCTTACTCTTTCTGGACCCATTGGTAAAAGAATAAAGACCTTTTATCGAGCAGTTAACACTGTCACTGTATAAGGTGCACTGTAACATATAATCCTCACAGCATCCCCAGGAGGTAGGTGGTACTCACTTTACAAAGAACCAAAGGCTCAGAGAACAGGTTCTGGGGGTCATGGCCCATCTGGTTGGCTGTGAGCCAGGCTCTGAGGATACTGTTGCTTGCGCTTCCCTTTTTACCTGTCCTTTCTCTTTCAGCCCTGGAAAATTGTATTAACCATGTTCTCATGTGTTTCTTTGGGCACATGCTATTGCTGTCTTCTGCAAAGTGAAAAAAAAATTACAAAACCGTAAGATGTTACTGCCCATTTTTATCACCTTTCTTTTGCTTTAATTTCTTTCACCACCAAATTGCTTGGAAAAGTCCAAGTCCTCGATATGCAAAATGCCCTAACCCCTTTCTCCAACCCTATCCTAATTTCCCTGGCCAGAGAAATATCCTTTTTGTCTTAGTTGACATGAGAATCTGTATGTGCCCCTCTGCCTCATATGAGCATTGCCCATCTAGGTCCCTGCTCATCCCCAGGAGACTCACCTTAAGAATAGATTTTATCTCTACGTCTCCACGGGATGTGGTGTGGAACCCTGCCCTTAATTGGCACTCATTATTTGTGAAATGAAGGAATGAATGACCATACCAGTATCCCAGTTTTCTCATGGCTCTTCTCATCTCAGCCCTTTGTCCCAGCTTGTAAGCCATGAGCTCCCTGACACAGCTGCCTGCAGAGGTCTCTTAGGGCCTTGTGATGTCGCGTCCCTCCTCCAGCCACATCCCTGATCTTCCCAACACAGTTCCCTCCTTGAAAGGCTCTCCAACCTTGACATTCAGGGCTGGGGTCCTCTCCATCCCTGCCTACCCACACAGTCCCTCCAGCTCCCCTGTGGGCTCCTTCGTCCTCTCTCTCCCACTGCTCTTCTCCCTCTGGAACTCATCCCACCACCCCAAAGATGACTCATTGTCAAGCATACTGTCTGTATGTCCTTCTCTAACTGTTTACATGCATAGAACTTGAGTCTCCAGCTAGTTCGTAAGTCCCTTAGGGCCAGATTTTCTTTTGTGTCAGCTAAGGTACACAGTTTTGGGCTCTTATTTGGCAGATATGACCAGATGTATGTTTTCTAAATATAACTGTATTTTTTCTGGATCAATTTAAAAAATTATGCTATATTTAAATTTTGATTTTCTTCAAATTTGCTTAAGACCGTTCTGTTCTTTCAGTTTTTCTTCATGCTTGCACAGGAACTGCTTGGCATGATGCTGTCAGCTATAATACACATATAGGCTTTGATATCACCAGTCAAGATCATCTGTCAAGGTAGATGACATTCCCTCCTTGCTGTAGCTGGGCCTCGCATTTGCACCACTGAATACATGCCTCCAGTCTGTTCAGTATTTTAAGCAGATTCATAACTTTAAAGCTTTTAAATCCATGCAACTACCTCATCTCTAGCAACCATTTCACATCTAAATAATCATCCCTGGCCTGCCTAATAATGTGAGTGTAAAGATTTGCCAACAGTTCTTTTTCCCCAGTAATCACTTCCAAAATAAATGATGAATTCCCTACTCCTAGAGATTGCATCACCCCTTCCCTATCCAACATCCGTCAGCTCAGAGCCAGCACTAGTGACTTGTAATTATGGTTCCCAGAATATAAACCCTTATGATGGATTCTGTGACTTTTCCTTGATGTTTCCATGATGTCAATAGCATTTCAGTGGTTCCATGACCCATCTTCGCCTGCTCAGAGGCCACAGTGGACTTCTTTTTTCTTCTGCTGGCCTTTTGTTTATCTCCTTGAATCATAAAGGAATCTTCAGCAGGAGTGTTTATCCCTTTCCCTTCTGAATCTCCACTATTGTATATTCTTGCCACTGCTTTATTCGAGCATTGGTCATTTCATATTTCTTCCATTCTTCATCTCCAAGATGATGCTTATCTGTTAAGAGAAAACAGGACTATGTCCTATTCATTCTCTGAATCACCTTCGTCCTTCTCATTATGGTTTCTTACTTCTGTCCCTTGTATTAATCGATTGCTGCATTGACAAATTGCCCAAAAGTTAGCAGCTTAAAACAAGCACATTTATTATCTCAGTTTCTGTTATCTCACAGGCATAACTAAGCTCAGTGCCTCTGGCTCTGCATCTCTTATCAGGTACCAGCCAAGTTGTGGACTGGGGCTGGAGGCTCAGCTGGGGAGAGTTCACCTTGCAGCTCACTCCTGTGGTTGCTGGCAGGTCTCAATCTCACACTCTGTGAGACTCTCCACTGGGTTGCCTCACAGCGTTGCAGTTGTCTCTCCCCAGGCCAAGTGATCTAAGAGGGAACCAGCAAATGCACCCAAGACAGAAACCACAATCTTTCTATAGTTTATTCTCAGAAATGACATCTCGTCACTTCTGCCATGTTAAGCAAGTTAGTAAATCCAGTCCACATTCATGGGGAAGAGATTAAAGGAATATGAATACCAGGAGATCGAGATCATGAGGAGCTATCGTGGAATCTGGCTAACACACTCTTCCTCTGGCCCCCTGATGACTTACATCCCTTCAATGTGCAGAATCTACTCACCCCTCCAAGGACTGCAAA